ACCCCCGAAAGAAAACACTCGGCGGCAGAGAAAAACCACGGTCTACGTGAGTGGCTAAGAGAACGCACTCACCCTCCTGCGGCTGCGGTTGACACTCGGTCCCCGGAAGCCTCGCTGACCCGTGGGGGATCAGTCCCTCATTGGCCAGGTCATTGAGATCTTTCTCAGTGATGGTCGAGCGGATCCAATCCCCTTGGACCCAACCCTTTGGCAGGCGGGACCTTGACGAAGATCCGCCCCGACTGGACGGTCTCCCCTTTGCTTTCCCCATCTCCGTCGCCTTCTCCGCGCGCTCTAGGGCCGCCGTCTTCTCCTTCATCATTGTCGCCGGCGAAGCGCGCGAGGAGTGGATAGGCGGAGGCGAGAGCGGGCGCAGTGGGCGGAGGCAAAGAGGGAAGAGAGAAGAATGGGAAGGCACTGTTCAATAAACCCTCCCCGGCGCTTTATATAAGGGCGCTTCCGAGTGGCTGACGAGTGGGTCCGGGCGATCCTGTCACATCACGAAACAGTCGCGCACGCACGATACATGGCGAAAAAGGCGGTGCGGAAATCGAGGCGTCCACGCCTTATCCCATCCGATTGCCGCGGTCCGCCCCGCTTCGCGCGCTTCCCAAATTTCGGATCCCGCAAAATCCGCTAACAGCAGATCAATCTGTCAAACGATATCTTTCCTGCGATCCGTCGCTCGGAAGTTCACCAAAGTTCAAAAAGTTCACTCGACAGAAGACAAGAATGGATCAAGGCGACTGAAGTAGAAGTTGACGCCAACGCCGAAAGAAAAATCGCCGATCCAAGATACGACATAATCAAAGCATGGGAAATAAGTCGGAGAAAATCATCAACTCCTTCCTCACTCGAACCTCGATCCATTTGGGGGCTAATGATGATGTTATGTACCTAGGGTAGGGTCATGGACCTATCTAGGATACCATACCCAAGGACATCGTTAGACGAAGCTACCTTCCAGTCGACCAAGAGGGACTCCACTCGACCAAGAGTGACTCCACTCGACCGGCTAGAAGACACTCGACGAACCTACAGACACTCGACCATGAAGACTCACTCGACCACCAGGAGTTCAGGATCTACTCTGTATCCAAACGGTCTGTTATTAAATAGTCTTAATGGTCATGATGACACTTTATGTAGGGCGTTACCAGTAACGCCCGGCCTTAATGTACTTTAACCCTCTGCTACGTGGGTTGGCTGGGGTCCTGGCGTCCTCTATATAAGCCACCCCCCTCCACTGGTAGAAGGGTTCGCATCCCTGTAACTCATATACACATAAACCAGTCGACCGCCTCCGGGCTCCGAGACGTAGGGCTATTACTTCCTCAGAGAAGGGCCTGAACTCGTAAAAACACTCGTGTGTACAACTACTCCATAGCTAGGATTTTGCCTCTCCATACCTACCCCCATTCTACTGTCAGACTTAGAACCACGACACCATCTAGCTAGGTTTGCCTGGAGCGCAGTTAGAGCTTCGTTCCAGCAAAACTGGAACCCTTCGTCCGGTGCCGACCTTTTATAAATTATTCATACACAAAAGGGGGCTAGTGCGAGGATTGTTTGGTGATGCGTAGGGGTGCTGCTGTGGTTCTTATGGACTGTGCGTAATAAGATGACCATTGAGAAGAAATTTCCTTCTCACCCCGCTGATGTCCTGTTTAAATGTCACCTCTTCTTATAGACTTGGACACCGTTAGGAAAACCGCGTGATGAGGAGCACATGTCGAGACGATGGAGCTGATCCGGAGCATTCAGGTGGAAGCTCGCCAAGTGGTTGCTCAAGACTGATCCCATTTTGATACTCCTTTCATCGCTTATTCTCCTGGTTAATGCTTGCCGATGACTTGCTTCCAGCCTGCGTGCTGATGATGGTGGACATTTGTTTATTTGGCTGGTACTGTAATGCTTGTGCTGATTTGCCATGTTGCATGTCTTCAGACTTTGTGTACGCCGCCTTGCGGCTTTATTAATTTAAGGCCGGATGTCTTTGACGTTTACGTTTCAAAAAAATGGTATGTGGGACACATGAGTCAGTTTTATGCTCTCTTTTCATAAACTCCGCGTCACACATGACATATTTAACATACATGATTAAGAGACCATAACCATTTTCTTTCATGCAGCGTCTATTGTATACATGCATTGTCACTCCTCTCAGCTTTTCCATGATTATGTAGTACAAATGACCCTCAAGCTCTTTCCCATGATTCTGTAAAACGAACGCTTTTCTTTCTTTTCTTCGCGTTTATGTGACTATACTCATATCCTAAGAATGCATCATGCATCTGAGATGAGCCCAGGCCTTACCATGCGTATTTAATAGCATGGCTTGGCGCTGCGGACTGCGGTGCCTAAGCTGAGACAAGAAAGCTTACGAGCACAAGCTGCAAATGTAGATAGCGACTCAAAGTCTCTCCCTAGCTGCTTACTAGGAGTAGGAAGAAAACTACCAATGGGATGTTAGAAGAAAACTGAATTAGTGGATGCACTTCAGTATGAACTCTATTAGCTTTTCCGGCCAACAACATGTTGCAGTAAACCTGTTGGGTTTGTGAGGTTAGATGATCAGGTTGATGGTCTGCTCTTCTTCGGCCTGTAAGGAGTGTGGATAAATTACCAGTGTCGGTGTGGCCATATTTCGTCAAATTGTGGATCAATGTTGTTGATGGCTGCACAGTAACTAGCCAATAAGACTGTGGTGGTGTTGTTCTGTTTACAACATGTGCTGTTGTGCATTCTGTTACTTCTCGTGAGAGATCGGCACATATGGTTACCTATCTCTTTATTGGCACTTCCAGAAGCCTATCTCTTCTCCGGCTTAAAAAAGAATCATTTTTTATGGCCCTGTTGCATTTCAACGAACCAGCAATTCGACTAAGTAAATTTACCGGAACCGGGATGTACCGGTGTAGCATCCGCCGTCCAACACAACATCGAGATGCACACTGTCCTTTGCCTAATAAACTAAGGAATCTTTTGTGGGATGAAATACTATCTCTATACTAGTCTGACATCACCTGACCAATACGTGAACATGCCCCACAACCTTTCTATGTAGTCATGCATGTGTACTTCCAGACCACTCAACAAATAGTACCAACATTTTACTTTCTTGTTAGCTACTAAATGATTGATATCTTTTTAATAAATGTTTTATTTTTAAATCTTTTTATATATTTGAATTTCTAAAGACAAGATCTTTAAAACAAGACCAATATTCAATATATTTTAGCGTAGTTTGAATTTTACCGTTTCATTCGCTTTGGCATTTCAAAAAAATGGATGTAACTCATTTCAAAAAACATGTTTCACTTTATTTAAAAAACTGGCTTCACAATTAAGAAAACAAATTTGAGTCATTCAAAAATAAAAATTTAACTCATTTTAGGAACTAATTTTATTCATTTTAAAACACGGATTTCATTCGTATCAAAAAGCATATTTAAGTCATTTCAAAGAATTGGTTTCGCTCATTCAAAAAGGTGATTTCACTCATTTCAAAAAACTAAATTCAATCATTTTGGAACACTGATCTTAGTTATTCCGAAACACATATTTCATTCGTTTACAAAAACAATTTTACTCATTTGAGGAAATGTATTACGGTCGTGTAAAAAAACGAATTTAACTAAATTTAAACACCGATTTCACATGTTTGAAAAACATATATTTCATTCGTTGCAAAGAACTGGCTACACTAATTTCATAAAACTGATTTCACTCATTTCAAAAAACTCATTTCACTATGTTAAAAAAATGATTTCACTCATATGAAAAAACTGATGTCACTCGTTTCAAAAAATAATTTCACTAAACTGTGAAAACAGATTTCACTCATTTTCACTATTTTAAATAACCAGTTTGGCTAGTTTGAATTTAATCGTTTCACTCATTTCAGAAAACGGATTTCAGTGAGTTTCACATTCACCAGTTTCATAAAACCTTCAGTCAGTTTCACATTTCACTAGATACAGAAAATACATTACACGCATTTAAAAAAAGTTAGATTTCACTCATTTTAGAAATCGCATTTCACTATATTTAACGTGTTTCACACTGAAATATGTATCATGTGTATGGAAAACAAAATTCACTCATCTAAAGAAAATAATTTCACACAGTTTAGAAAACATACTTCACTCAGTTGAGAAAACATATTTCAAATTTGATTTCAATCAATGGAAAAATACTAATTTCAATTATTTCAAAAAACCTATTTCGCTTGTTTCAGAAACCTGATTTCAGTCATTTGAAATGTTGAAATTAAAACATGTTTGAAATGCATCCAATTTGGTCTTATTCTAAAGCTCTTGGCTTGAGGAATTCAAATATATAAAATATTTCAAAAATAACAATGTTTAAAAGATAGAAATGATTGCAAATCCTAAAGAGAAAATAAAAGGAAATGATTTGTACCATGGCACCACATGCAACGTCAGGATAGACTCTCTCTCTCTCACCTAACATGGGTCCCATCAGTCTGACATTGATTTGACTTAAAACCAAAATACAAGAAATTATTTGCATCAATACTTTGATATACACATGCATGTGGTCCCACACCTTTACACATGGCAGCAAGGCATTGGTGAGAGAATCACCGGTAGCTCCCAGCACCGGTAAAAAACACTTTGCGACCAGCAATTGCCTAAGGATTCTACAAAGCGCTAAAACAAACGGCATACAATGACAAAGCCACAAGCAAAATGAGTTCCACAAGGCCCCCATCAATGAAAAAGACTGGTAATCACCAGTGAACTCTTGACCAAAGTGACAGAGAAAACCCACCCGCTGTACCGTGAAAAATTAAAGGATTGTCGAAACATCTCCACTAGCTGTTACTACCACATCCACGTCATCATATCAATTGCCACGATTCTCCTAATGCAAATTTACATCTCCACAATCCTCAGCGTGAAACACAAGTAACAGTAGTGAGTGGTGACACTTGCGACCGTTAATTTCTTTACTTGTCAGTAGTTCCCCACAGGCTATCCAATCCTCTTGATGGAATCTACCAAGTAGTCGATATCAGGGGTAACGATCGCACGCTTGTTCACCTCCCCCAGGCTGCAGCAGTGCTTCTTGTTTGTGTTGATTGCTACAGCCTCCTGAGCAAATGTGCAGTCCAAACCAGCTGAAACCTGCACGTTTTATTCATCTCAAGTACTGCATCATCGAAAGACTAGACGTAATCACGTAAGCAGAAAATGCAGCATAAAGAAGCGCAGAATTTTTTAACACTTACATCAAAGAGTGCATCTCCAAGCCTCATCTTCACTTTACCACTCTTGTACACGAGCAGCTTCCCCATGAAACCGCCTGGCAAATCTTTTAGCTTACAGCCGTCGATCGACTCGAGTCTCCTCTTCTTATTGGGTTCTTCTGTTTCAACACCCTCACTGTCACTGGTGTCCATATCTGCTACAGCAACTGATACAACCTGCAGTAAAGGAAGAGATGCAGGGAACTGGAAGAAGAGCAACTGTGGTGTATTCATCTTGTCCTCAGTGTCCTGTCAAACGATTCATATAATACATCAGCTTTCAGGCCATTAATACTATACAGCCAGTACAATCAGTTAGATCAATATAAGATTACAAAACTAATAGAAGTCTAAAAGAAAAAGAGTAGCCGGCAGTTCCATCGACATTCCCACGAAAAGACAGTTCCATCAACATGTGGTGTGTTCTTTTGCATCGATATGAATACCTGAACAAGAACGGTGTTCCTCGACATGATATCATGCAACATGATATACATACCATTAGCCCAAGCTCCTGAGCTGCAGTTAATTCACCATCTTGTGTTCTGCTGGAAGAGAACTCTCCGAACACGTCTTCATCAAAAAATTCTGTAGCAAAGATAATGGAATGTTAACGGAAGCGTTTTTTAGGGGCAAACTGTGAGCATGATGTGGCAAAAGCCAAAAACTGCAAAAATAAAGAACACCAAAACCTGGATCTGCAGAGTTGGGCCTCCTTAGAGGCAGATTAATAGGAGGATAGTTGTAGTTGGGATGGGTAAAGTCCTGCAGCAGTTAGTAGGAGATAAGTCAGGTAATCAATAAAACAACCCCCACCAGGCCACCACCCCACCCCTAATGTTGTTCTTTTATGGGTTTACTAACCTGAGGTCCAGTGAACTGTTTGGGTAACTTTGCAGCAGAAGTCGTAACGCCAGACATCATATACTTGCTAAAAAGGTTTACCTCCTGCTCTTGTTTAACTTGCAGAACAAATGATAAATTGCTCTGTGAATGTGCAGATGAAGGTAAATATGGAACAAATGGGAATGCAACCTTAAGCTACTACCTGATGAAGAACTTTTAGGGGCGGGGAAGGATCTTGCAGTTGAAGAGTTCACTTGTCCAAATGTAACCTGAACACAGGCTTCTGCCGTCGTAATGGAGCAGTATGTTATTATCAAATTGTAAACTGAAAACAACATAATGCTGTTACACCGGTGATATTGAGTTTGTTATTTCAAATATTCATAAACCCATACTTTCTAGATGAATCAGTGCCGACTTCTAAATAGAATTTTGATTATCTAAATTGCAACAATTATCAAGCCTCTAAGGTACAACATGCTGCATGTCATTAGTTCAAAACATACAATGATTTATATCCTAGGCTAGCGCCAACTTCATGAGATAACTCCTGAGTCCAGATTTTTCCTGACCTAACATGTCTGCTTCGACAATGCAAATTCAGTAGAATTACGTATTTGAACTATGATGCCTTTCTGCTCCTTGCACTCGGATAGCTCATCATTACCCAATAGGCCATAGCTATTCTAGATAAACATGGTCAGTATGAAGTGTTCAAAAATATAGAGATACTGATGTCTTATTTGTCACAATTCGTTCAGCAGCTCTCAGTGATACAAAGGCAATTCTGATTCTAGAATGTTAGGAAGTTTGTGTAACAGCAACTGTAGTTAACTGATTAGTAATTTTTCACTGGAGATAGGCTAGTGGATGCAGGATCAAACATGAAATACAGTAGATATTGTGAGGCAAACAACATTAAAATACTGACCATTTTTCTCAGCCTTGAATCTTCTTTCGAGGGCACCTTTACTCTGCATATGAAACTGGAGAATAAAACACCACCGACCTAAATTAGGCACGTACAAATCGGACTCAGACATACAAGTACCTGTGGTGTTCTAAGTTTCCTCAACAGATCCTTATCAATTGCGTCAAGCTCGCTCTCCTCTTCCGGTTCCCTGTAGAATCCCAAATTACTTTCATTGCACGAGCACTGCGCCTACTTTAAATGGAAATGTTGACTTGAACAAGCATGCATAAACAGAGCATTGGTTAATGTACATTACATCTTAGGGACAATGTTTGGGGTTTTCTTAGTAGGCACCTTGGGCGAAAATTTAAGCCCGGCCTGCACGCGCAAAGTAGAAGAAAAAAAATTGTAAGCAGCAAACACACTGAGCGTATATGCATATGAGATTTAGCTGGAGAAAATACTCACCTTGCGGCGATTGGGTGGAGTGGAAGCAGAGCCATCCTTGTCTTTCCCCTTTTCACGCTTATCGTCCATGAGAACAAGTGGAAGATCTACAAGAATGACATGATGAGGTAAAAAAAACAAGAAACTTGGGTAAAAGGAATGACATGATGAGGTAAAAACTTGGGTACAAGAGCGTCTCTCAAACAAGTTTTGGCAAGTAACTAGCGCACACTTGTCTACACTCAACTTGCATGAAATTCCAATGTCCGGGATGTTAGAATACTTGTATGTGTATTATGGTGCAAGTATAAACCGTATATACGCTGTAGGGCCGGTGCAGTATGTTTATCTCATGTAACTCGGTTGGTAGGATGTTGAATTGATCTCTATCTTGTATAGTTAACTTGGAGATCAATCCAACAACCTAACCAACTAAATCTTGTAAACCCTAGCCGCATTGTGGCCTATATATAACACGCAACGCGTCCCTGCTAGGCATATGCTTAACGCAATCTTATATGGTATCAGAGCCTCCTTCTCTAGCACATCACGCACCCATGGCCTCCTCAAGCTCTGCCGTCGCCACACCAGCCCTCATCCCGATCGCCGATCGTCTTCACCGCTCCAACTTCCTGGTGTGGCGCGCGCAGGCCATGGCAGCTATCCGGGGCGCGCAGCTCGTCTCCTACCTCGACCCTGAGAGGGAGCTGCCGGCCCGGAAGCTCACGGACAAGGAAGGCAAGCCCACCGATGTGCCCAATCCGGCGTACGACATCGACAGGGCTCGCGACTCCCAGGTGCTGAGTTTCATCTTTAATTCAATCTCCGCACCGGTGATGATCCAGGTTGCACACTGCAACACAGCGGCCGAAGCTTGGGCCGCCATCACGGAGATCTTTATCTCCCAGACTCAGGCGCACATCGTCAACACCAGAATCGCCCTCTCCATGACGAAGAAGGGCAACTCGACGGTGGCCGAATACATCGGGCGCATGAAAGCGCTCGGTGACGAGATGGCATCTGCAGGAAAGCCTCTCACTGACGATGACATGGTGTCCTACATCCTGGCGGGGCTCGACTTCGACTACATGTCGTTCGTCTCCACCATCTGCGCCCGAACTGAACCCATCAAGGTGAGCGAGCTTTATTCGCAGCTCATTAACTTTGAAAGCAGGCTGGCTATGTTTGAGGGCGGCGGCCAGTCGTCCCACTCCTCCGCCAACGCCGTCTCACGCGGCGGACGTGGCGGACCCAACCGCGGTGGTGGCCGCGGTGGCAATGGTGGTCGCTATGGAGGCGGCCGAGGAAACGGAGGTGGTGGCCGTGGCCAAGGCCGCGGTGGTGGCCGCGGCAATGCAGGGGGAGGTCGCAATGATCTTCCGGAAGTCTTCTGTCAAATCTGCACCAAGCCGAACCACACCGCCATGGAGTGCTACCGCCGCTTCGACATCTCCTTCAACAAGGAGAAGAGCGTGGCGGCCGTCAACACCAACCACGCCAACTCTCAGTCCTCCTATGGAGTGGATACCAACTGGTATGTGGACTCTGGAGCATCAGATCACATCACCAGCGAGCTCGACAAGCTCACCGTTCGGGACAAGTACAACGGGCATGATCAAGTAAACATGCCCAATGGCGCAGGTATGAAAATTGCTCATATAGGTCATGCTTATGTTCGTACCCCTTCCCGTAATCTCCATCTTAAAAATATCCTACATGTACCAAATGCCACCAAGAACTTGATCTCTGCTCATCGGCTATCTTATGACAATCACGTTTTTCTTGAAACTCATCCTCATTTTTTCTGTGTTAAGGACAAGGCAACGAGGAAAACCCTCCTCCGCGGCAGGTGTAGAAACGGGCTCTATCCCCTATCATCAGCTCCCGTAAGCTCGGGCAGGCATGCACTTGGCGCCACCAAGATCTCATCATCACGGTGGCACAATCGTTTAGGTCATCCATCTTCGGCAATCGTTCAGCATGTTCTCAAGCACAATAATATTTCCTTTTCTAGCAAAGAGTTGAATAATCAGGGTGTATGTGATGCTTGCCAACAAGGCAAGAGCCATCAACTACCCTATCCAAATTCTAGTAGTATTTCCAATGCTCCTTTAGAGCTAGTTTTCTCTGATGTATGGGGGCCTGCCCGAGATTCAATCAATAAGAAAAACTATTATGTGAGTTTCATAGATGATTTCAGTAAGTTCACTTGGATTTACATTCTCAAACACAAATCCGAAGTGTTCAAAGTTTTTCATGAGTTTCAAGCACTTGTTGAACGTCTCTTTGACCGAAAAATCATCACTATGCAAACGGACTGGGGAGGCGAGTATGAGCGCCTAAACTCCTTTTTCCGTCAGATAGGCATCACACACCATGTGTCATGTCCTCACGCCCATCAACAGAATGGGTCAGCTGAGAGAAAACATCGCCACATTGTAGATGTAGGTCTCTCACTTTTGGCTCATGCTTGCATGCCCTTGAAATTTTGGGATGAAGCGTTCCTCGCTGCCACTTATCTCATTAACCGCACTCCTAGTAAGGTGATCAATCTTGAAACTCCCTTAGAAAAATTGTTCCATGAAAAGCCAAATTATCATGCTCTCCGCACTTTCGGCTGTGCTTGCTGGCCAAATCTCCGTCCTTTCAACTCTAGAAAGCTAGAATTCCGCTCCAAGCAGTGCGTTTTTCTTGGCTACAGCAATCTTCACAAGGGTTTTAAATGCCTTGATATACAAGCAGGACGGGTGTATATTTCCCGTGATGTCATCTTTGATGAATCAGTTTTTCCTTTTGCTGCATTAAATCCAAACGCCGGAACCCCTCTTCGCTCCGAAGTTCTTCTCCTTCCTGAAACCATCCCCTCTGACCCTCTTGATCATGGGGACGAACAAACAGCTGATCCATCGGGTGATTTTCATAAAAATTCTGCAGTTAATTTTGGTGGAAATCCGGTTGTTCTTCATGATTTTATGCAGCAGCCAGGCGCGGAACACCATGCAGATTCAGGTGCTGCAGACTCTGACGGCGGCGATCCCGGGGCTGATTCTCCCTCGTCTGGCGCGCCTGCCAACAGCAGCGGCGGCGTATCTGCCTTGGGAGGAGACGAGTCGCCCGCGGCGTCCCACGCGTCCAGCCGGGGGCCCACAGGCGAGGGCCCGGAAGCGCACTCCGCGCTTGACCAGACGAGCGCGCCCGTCCCGAACCGCCAGGTGGCGCGGTCTCCTGCACGCGGTCGGGCCGACCAGGCGGGTGCTTCGCGGACAGGAGGCAGCATCCGCCTCGTCCCTCGCGCTGGCCAATCAGATGCGGTGCATGCGGCTGACAGCATCCGCATCGGATCGGATGCGTCTGGATCGGCTGCTCCGGCTCCTGGTACGAGGATGAATGGATCTTCTGCGGCTGATGGTTCTGCGGTTATTCCTGCACCAACACAGAGGACAACAAGGTCGCAACATGGTATTTTGACACCAAAAATACGTACGGATGGTACGGTCAGGTATGATAAGGTGCGGTTCGTTGGTCTTACCACTACTGGAGAACCACATAATTTGTCAGAAGCTTTAGAACATAAAAACTGGAAAAATGCAATGGATGAGGAATACAATGCTCTTATGAAAAACAGAACATGGCATCTAGTTCCTCCAGCCAAAGGCAGAAATATAATTGATTGTAAATGGGTCTATAGAATCAAAAGAAGAGCAAATGGAGAAATAGATAGATACAAAGCAAGATTAGTTGCAAAGGGCTTTAAGCAAAGGTATGGGATAGATTATGAAGATACCTTCAGTCCAGTTGTAAAAGCAGCTACTGTCAGACTTGTTCTCTCTATTGCAGTATCAAACAACTGGTATCTTCATCAATTGGATGTGCAGAATGCGTTTCTTCATGGCGTTCTAGAGGAGGAAGTGTATATGAAGCAACCACCTGGGTATGAGGTAAAAGATAAACATAATTATGTTTGCAGGCTTGATAAGGCTCTATATGGTTTGAAACAAGCACCCAGAGCATGGTACTCTAGGCTGAGTGAGAAACTCCAAAGGCTTGGTTTTCGACCATCCAGAGCTGACACATCTCTGTTCTTCTATAGGAAAGGGAAAATCACTATTTTCATGTTAGTATATGTTGATGACATTATTGTTGCAAGCTCATCACAGGATGCGATTAAGGCATTGCTTGAAGATCTAAGAAGAGATTTTGCTCTAAAAGATCTTGGTGATTTGCACTACTTCTTGGGAATAGAAGTAAAGAAGGTTAAAGATGGCATAGTCTTAACTCAAGAAAAGTATGTGTCAGATGTGTTAAAACGAGCAGGTATGATGAATTGCAAGGTTTCGAATATGCCTCTCTCAACTTCTGAAAAATTGTCAAAAGAAGAAGGTGAGCCACTAAGTGCTGAAGAATCTACAAACTATAGAAGTGTTGTAGGTGCCTTGCAATATCTAACGCTTACAAGACCTGATATATCTTTTCCTATTAATAAAGTATGTCAGTTCTTGCATACTCCTACTCTTGCACACTGGACAGCAGTAAAGAGGATCCTGAGATATCTAAGAGGCACTATGAGTACAGGTTTGAAGGTCACAAGGTCAACATCAACTTTGGTGAGTGCATTTTCTGATGCAGATTGGGCAGGTTGTCCTGATGATAGAAGATCAACAGGGGGCTTTGCTGTTTTCTTTGGACCAAATCTCATCTCATGGAGTGCACGGAAACAAGCTACTGTATCAAGATCAAGTACAGAAGCTGAATATAAAGCCTTGGCTAATGCTACGGCAGAGTTAATATGGATTCAAACCTTACTAAACGAGCTTCGCGTAAGTCATTCTCCAGTTGCACGTTTGTGGTGTGATAATATTGGTGCAACTTATCTTTCAGCAAATCCAGTGTTTCATGCAAGAACAAAGCACATTGAAGTGGATTATCATTTTGTGCGAGAAAGAGTAGCTCAGAAGCTACTTGATATTCGTTTCATTCCCACCAATGATCAAGTTGCAGATGGCTTTACTAAAGCCTTATCTTGGCGAAAACTAGAAGAGTTTAAGAACAATCTTAACTTGGTAAAGTTATGATTGAGGGGGAGTGTTAGA